AACGAGTGGAAAGGATGCGGCAAATATTCCTTGAGGAAGGATGTCGGCCGCTGGAGCGCCGGAATTTTCTTCCGGCAATCATGTCGCGCCGTGTTCTTGAACATCTTGTTAATGTATCAGATACTTCACTTCATTCTTTGCTGGAAAACCCGATGGAGGTGCCGCCTCTTCTTTCAGTCCCTGCCGACGTCAAGATTTTCGGTTTACAAGGCCTGCACCGTATTGAGGCTGCCAAACTTTTGAAGAGCACCGAATGGTGGACGGTGGAGCTCTACGACATAAGTTGGTTTTTTTATCGAACAGCATCAGAACGGACGCTGAACCTTCTAGGTATATCTATGGAAGCCCGAAAAGCTCTGAGATACGAGTTTGACAATGCAGCCAACTTCTCGGATGGCTATATTTTCAAGGAAGTGCAGCATCATCACCGTCTTAAAGGTACTCACGGTGAGAAACGATGGCTGGCCAGATTGACATGCAGTAAACGAAGCATCGCTCGTCGGGTCCTGAAAAAGGAGAGTCTAAATCAAGCCTTATACAATCTTCATGAGGTTCCTGGCCTTTGGATTGACGATGATGGATTCAAGATCGGCGTTTTGCACAAGATGCTAGCGATCAGGAGTGATGAGGTATGCTGTCTCCTCCTCGACCTAATTGATTGATGCTTATGTGATATGAAAGGAATTAGTGCATTATCTCACTGGAATATATACGGAATACCTGAGGATTGTCGAAAATAAACTTTTGCTCAAGTTTATAGACCATAACACCGTGCAACATTTACAATTACGTGTCCCGGGCATCTCAAAACAAGATGATGAATATGTAACTGGTGCCCTTCAGCAAGGCATCATCTTCAGCCATATGCCGGACGAAGAGAAGCCGAGAATCCTTCAAAACTTGAGGCAGGGAGATCGCCTTATTCCGTCGTTATACACATTCAGGCTGGATTTCAAATATCTACACCCATGTGCCCTCATAATGAAAGACCTATTCATGCCAAACACGACAGCGACGACGATACGACAAGCTGCGTATTCGGCAAGTCTTCCAGATAGTAAGGCTCGCAAGCGTTTCTCCAGGACGTTTCTGCTGTTATACCTTCACATCATGTCAAACATCTTTGAGTTATCAAAGGAGTCCCCGATGCTGGAAGAAGACGAGTGCCGGCAACAGCCCAAGCTGAAAGATGAGAAGAAATGGCACGAGCTCGCAAGTGAAGCTAAAAGGTTGGGATTTGTCTCCCCACAGATCGAGAAGCTACTGTGTTCGAACCCGGACGAGGAGCATGCACGGAACTCTCTGTTGTTGGCCAGAAAGCCTCCTTTCTTCGAATATGAGCCCGACCAGCTTAAGGAATTTGTTCAATCTCTGATTCAGATGTATCGCGCAGCAAGACCTCGCTTGAAACCTTCCCAGGCCGCACAAATGACCACTGATACCCTCGGGGTGCCGCTAAAGAGACGATGCGGGCGGCAATTCTCCAGATCTTACCAAAATGATAGCCAACACCTCAAACTTCCGGTCTTGAGGGAATCCCCTGAGAAGGGCCATGATATCACGTCCTTGTTCGTTCGAAGATCCGTGATCGGTGCTTTTTTTGATCTGGAAGAGAGTAGTGACTCGGGCAACGTAGATGGCGATCTAGATATGGGTGATCTCAGTGGGGATTCGTCCGAATCAACTACAGATTCAAGTGAAAACGATAGTGAACTTGAAAGAATGGAGCGCGACCTGATGGAAGAGCTAGGTGAAATTGCCAATCCAGCTGTCACTAAAGGCAACCCACAATCAACGACGGAGACAATGGTGGTAGATCCGATACCCCCCCCTCCGGTTCACGAAGTCAGGGATGTAGAAATGGCGACGATTCGGTCATCACTGGCATATGGAACTGAAGGTACGGCCATTAAGCAGAATTCAACTCGATCGCTCAGTCGCCGCGAAACACCACAGCCCAAAGCTGGTCCTCAAAGGCGCCAGACACGGAAATCTCGGTTCAATCCATTGAAAACTCCCGCCCATCAGAATAAATCTGAAAGTAACGGTTTGTCCAATGGCAATCTCTTTGAACCCCCAGTGTATCCCCCGATCTCGGAGGCTACAGTTATCATCCTTACACCTGCAGGCGGATCGTGGGGTGAAGCCAGGCGATGTCGACGAGCTTCAATCCATTCTCACGTGGAGGAGATAAAAGCTATGAACCCGTATACTCAACTCACTCCACATGATTCTCGAGGGAAGACAATTGGACTTGAAGAATGTTTTGATGTTGGGATGTCAGAAGGACAAAAGGTTTATTTATGTGAACGTTTTTCCCCTGAGGGATTTATACATACGGAGGAAATACTATAATATAAGTGACGCTCACAATAAAATGGAAATCCAATTGCTCCCTTTTACTAGACACTGATTCAATACCAAATGTAATGGTCACCACTTCAGTACCTTCTGAATTGAATGCCGCTAGTCTTGTGTCGTCGGAACTATCAAGATCAGCCATTTGATACAAGGCTCATTTTCACCGAAAAATAGGGTAGCTGCCATAAAGGTATCTTGGTAACAGCGACTAATTACGGCAAGTTCGAGGCATGCTTAGTCAATTGAGCGGTTTCTTGAATATCTTAATAAGCAATTCCTATCAGCTTCCTAGATGCAAATGCGGCTTATTACACAGTTCGGCTGTCAGGTATACATGCAAAGGGATGTATCATCCAACAGCACAAGTTTGCACAACCTCGCATTACTCTTGTGCATTACTTGGCTATGCATGCGTTCATAAAGTGGGTCATAATCAGGTACTCAGCCTTCGGCTCAGGATCGTCTCAGTCTTAAAGTGGCAACAGCTCAGACCATCGTCCCAAAACAGATACGGGTCGTTGATGTGACAATACGGGTTGCAAGATCGAAACAAGGCGAAAAGAAAGGTGTAGTGAGAAAGAAACGGCGGAGCGGCGGCAGCTTGAGCTTGGAGTAAAGCCACGCTTACTCGCTGCAGCCCGGAACCCAAACAAGTTGAGGTAAGGTGATTGATCTCCCTTTTGGTTCCTTTTCGCCTTCGTCTACATGCACACTACCTTAGGTGCCACGGTCCTTAGGCTTCGGAGGTTGCCAGTGGTCGCGAACCATGGGACACAAGTCACAGATCAAGTTGGAGGAACCTAACTTGATGAAGGGGAGGGGGGCTGGACCGCGTGCGTGTGGCCATGCGACCATTCACGGCGAGGCACTTGTCCTGCAGATCCAGGACGTGCCAGTGTGCGTGCTTCAGGACGAAGCCATCTGACGCCCAATCACCAACAGGACCCGGCGGTAAGACCGGCAGTCAGAATTTCAGAAAAAGGGTCCGAAAGGGATGCTAAAGTGTGGAGAGGTCCAGGCCGGCGTCGTATCCGATCGTCGAGCGAAGGGCGGGATGAAGCAAGGTCACCACTTTACCAAGCAATAGCCGAGTCCCGACAAGGAAGAGAGCTTGACAAAAGTATCAATAAGACGGTGTTATGGCACCGATCAGAGCCTGGATTGGGCGAGACATGGTGGTTGGTATGGGACAAAGTTGGGACCAAAGATGGGTGACAGGGGGAAGAGTCGGGAACATAGCTGCAGAGCGACAAACACAGCATAAACAACAGCATGGATCTATGGGAGCCGTCAGGCATCCCGCGCCGGACGAGCTCTCTGTTATCCCTGTGTGCGCAAAAGCATGTACGCTGGACCCTTTGGCCTCCGGGTACAATGTAAGGGGAACACAACTTGTTGACCATATTATCTAAGCAGACACAGGCATCCAGGGACATGACAAACGGCGCTATTAGAGACCAAGGTGCCCCGAGCCATGCCCCAACGAGAATCGGGCTGTGGACTTGTCTCTCCCTGCAGTGCTGCTAAGAAACATTTGGGTGCTATGTTGAGATCAGGAACTGTGGGTAGCTGAAACATCGATTTGTATGTGACTCCATGGTAAACGCATGGCTATTAAGAACTCATCGCAGATAGCAAGACATGGAAGAGAAAATAAAGCAAAACACTTAGAGAACACTTGCTTCTTCAACCACTCCATCTCACCGCGCTCCAATGGCCAACTGAGCGACGCATTCCAGAAGGAACGAAACCTGAAACAGGCCGTCAACGGGCCCTGTTGGTGGTGAGACTGTGCGCAAATTCCCGATCAAAACACACCAAGACACATCCAAATTCCAGAGACATTCCCTTGGTCTTCCCTCCTACCCCAGACTTCGGAATCGCTTTTGAGGAGACAAATGAACCGATCCAACTGATGACCCCGTTGTTGCTCTTCTTGACATGCTTCTAGGCTGTCCCAAGACTTTGGCTGGTAGTGACGCTGACGTTCAAGGCGGCAGATTAGTCCACCAGCGCCCTACGGTACAATCATGGCGCGATTCGAAGTCTTGAACTGCCCGCATGTAGGAATGTAGCGCACGTTGACGGTCTATCTATGGTCATCAAAAAATTTGAGTACGTCATTGCCCATCTTGACTCGGGGACACGAAGGATTGTCTACGGTCTTCCCGTGCCCATACCCGGCCCTCCGCGCCTGCATTTCCGGACTTCGGTCCCCGAGACGCACACTAGGCCGGAGGATTACATCGGACGACTCCATCAGCGCGGATTCTCCCTTGGCGTGCAGGTAATTGTGCCCGAGTCTGGGGGGAGTCCCCAGTTCCCTATGTATTGATTGTGCGACTTTAGTCATGTTTCTCCTACACTTTGTGACTTTAGCAGTCCACTGCTAAACTCATGCAAGGTCATGCAAGGAACCATGATGTGTGAAGCAGACTCTATATCTATTAAATATTGCGATTAAGTCGGTAACAATCTGAAATGCGCTGAAAAGAGAAGCACAACAAGAGCTTCCAGCGCTGACCCCAGCCTGCATCTAATGCGCATGTTCCTCCCATTCTCTCCGTCTAAAACCAGGAAATGTACATTCCGTCCATATTTCTACCACAAAAGAGATCTTGTCGTCACACCACAGCTAACTACTCCTTCTTGACCTTCTTGTTCTTAGGCATGCGCACCAGCCAGTACACAACCAAGGCCACAACAATGTTGAAGATGCAGTACGCCCACATCAACCCAAAGTTCCTCCACCGGTGATCAAAGTCGACATTGATCCCCTTCAAAAAGGTATTGGTGTCCGACATGGCGCAGTACTGGCACTCGGTCGAGTTACTGGCGTCCGGGTTCGAGAGATAGCCGCCGGCAGCGGAGATGTAGTCGGCCATGTACTGCCCACACGTCTGCCCGCTCGGCGCCGCAAAGGAGACGAACTCATTGGAGGCGCAGTGCACCGCGGCGTTGGCGAGCGAGGTGCCGAGGAAGCCTTCCACCACGTAGGTGAACGGGTTGACGCGGTACATGAAAATCCAGAAGCCTGGGAGGTCATTTGGTCCAGCGAGAATTCTGGCGAGTGAGGTGATTAGCTATCGTTCATATGGGGCGCTGATTAGAAGACTGGACTCACCCGCAGAAAGCAAACATCATAATGGCGAAGAGATTGACGATGCCGCCGGCTACTTCAGCGTTGGGCAGGCCCGCGATCATCATGTGGGCGAAAGAGCCGGTGAAGATGAAGAAGACCCAGACTTGGAGGAACATGGTGATGCCGCGGGAGTCGACGGCGTCGGTGGCGTAGGCGTTGCGGTAAAGGCCGATGGGGAAGTACCAGCACACGAAGCAGAAGACGGAGGCAAGCTGAAGGATGGTCAGTTGACTGTTGGATGGGAACCAAGGTCGCGGGAAAGCTTACCGAGTTCCAGGCCATTTCAACAAGAATGTTGGCAAACATGAAGGCCTTCCACGAGTACGCCTTTGAGGGTCTCTCACGCGCCTCGTACATGGTTCGCTGCGACACAAAGATGGGAAGGATCTGCTCGACGACCTGGCTGAATACCGTGAGGAAGATGAAGACACCAAACATCTGGTTTTGCAAGCCACGCTGCGTGTTTTCAGCGTTGAGGAATGAGAGACCGATGAACAGAGCCTACAGAGGTGGGTTAGTCGGAGACTTTCATGTCAGGGTCTTAGGGAGTTACTCACAGCACCAAAAGACAAAACACCCTTTGAGTAGATGTAGGCAGGGCTTCTCCAGTATTGCTGGAAGACACGCTTCGTGACCTCAATAAACTGTGTGCCAAAGCCGGCAGCAAACTCCTTGTGCGTGGACTGACCTTGACCATTGGTCAGGGCAGGTCGCGCAGAGGCATCAGAGCACAGTCGGGTCAACTCATCCTGAACAGCCTGGTACTCGGGTGTCTGGCGCCAGACGGCGGGCCAGTCAATGTCGGTGTGGGCACCGGGCGCGGCTCCGATGACCTCAAGCATATACTCTGCGGGATTTGCGCCAGGCGGACATTCCGGCCCACCGTTGCGGACAAAGTAATCGACCAGGGTCTGCGAATTCTTGCCAATCTCTCCAAAGTACACCGTACGACCGCCGCGGGCGAGAAGAAGTAGTCTGTCGAAGCGCTGGAACAGCATCGCTGAGGGCTGGTGGATGGTACACAAGATAGCCTGGCCGCTCTTGGTGAGCTTCTCCATGAGGTTGCAAATCGACCACGAGGTCTGGCTGTCGAGTCCGGAAGTAGGCTCGTCGAGGAACAGGAGGAGTTGCGGGCGGGCGGCGAGCTCGACGCCAATGGTAAGACGCTTCCTCTGCTCGACGTTGAGGCCTTCGCCGGGTACGCCGATGACGGCGTCGGAGTACTCTTCCATACCGAGGAGGCTGATGACGGTGTCGACGTACTCGAGCTTCTCTTTGCGGGAGTAGGTGTCTGGCTGGCGAAGGAGGGCGCTGAAGTTGAGGGCCTCGCGGACGGTGGAGGTGTGGAGGTGGAGATCTTGCTGTGTGACATAGCCCGTTTTGCGCTGGAAGGAGTCGTCGCGGGGTTGGCCGTTGACGAGCATTTCGCCGGAGATGACGCCCATTGTTACGCGAGTGGCGAGGACGTCGAGCAAGGTCGTCTTGCCGGCTCCAGAAACGCCCTGTTGGTGATGTTAGCCACTGTCTTGTTCAAAGTTGGAATCATCTGCTATTGCAAAAGACTTACCATGAGTGCAGTCAGAGTTCCAGGCTTGACCCAGCCGTCAACGTGGTCCAAAATCCGTCGAGGCTCACCCTTGATCTTGATATCATAGCAAACATCCTTCCAGTGGAAGACTGAGGTCTGCTTCTCCATGCCAGCAACGCCCTCAGAGTCATCCTCGCTTCTCTGCTGTGCACCAGCGGCGGGGGCACCGGTCTCGACATCGACGGCGCCTTGCTTGCGGCGCTTGCTCATAGCCTTACGGCTGAAAACCAAAACCTCACCCTTGGAGCGCTCGGAAGCGATGTACTCGGTAGCGAAAAGATGCAGACCCATGAAGAGGATCATGTAAGCAATCATGACTCCAAAGTTTCTCCACCGGTGGGAGTTCTCGAAGCTGTAAGAGGTGCTGAGATAGGCTGTCCCGCTGACCATGTCCTGGCCTGGGACAGAGCCCGCCGTGGAACAGACGCGTTCGTTGGCAGCGACGGAGTCATAGCCGGGGCCCATGGGAACGAAGTTTGAGCAGCGGAAGTCGCGGCCAATGAATTCGTTCAGCATAACGCTTTCGAGACCGTAGTAGACAGGGTTCAGCCATCTGACCCAACCCAGCCAATCTTGCATGTACTGAGGCGGGATAGCGAAACCAGTGTAGAGAGCGATGAGGAGCAGGATGATTGATGCCGGTGCTAGAGCCTGAGCAACTGACTTTGTGACCGAGCCGATGAGACGGAACATCATCGACATGGTCAATGTCATCGAGAAGGAGATGAGAAGGAAGAAAAAGAAGGCGCCCGGCTCGCGGCGGAGATTGCCCATGAAGTACAAGATGGTATTCATCAGGACGGCATTGACAATTTTATAGGGCAAGTCGACAACCATGGCTGAGAGTGCCTCAGCACTGGGGTGGTATAGGGCATACCGGGCGTGTTTCTCGACAATCTTGCGCTTGGCGTACAACGTCATGATTTCCAGGATACTGCCAAAGGCATTGATGATGACCGTGAAGAAGAGCAGGATACCTCGGCGAAAGAAGCTAGACGTATTCGTAGGCAGGTTGTAGAACAGACTGCTAATGATCAAGGCCTCAAAGATGTTGGTGATTAGCATCGTGAGTGTGATGCTGGGGTCGCCCTTGAGCATCACCCAGCTCCGCCAGAGCGTGAGGCGCATCTGCTCCATGTACGAGAGCGTAAACGGGGAGTTCTGGCGCTGGGACTTGGACTGGTCGATGCGGCGGGACGCGAGGAACTTTTGGTAGTGCTCCCCGCCAAAGGGGTGGCGCTGGAGGTAGTCTTCGACGTCCTCGAGGAGGCGTAAGCGCTGCTGGCTGGCCTTCCAGGCGCGGGCAAAGTCGTCGGGGCTGCGTGGCGTCTTGCCCTCCCAGCCAGGGCGGATGACGCGCTCCTGGTGGCTGGTCATGGAGGTGAGGAAGTCGGCTGTTGTTTGTTGCTCTGGGCAGATGAAGCCAAGGCCTTCGAAGTAGGCTTGGGCTTCGGTGGTTTTGCCGAAGTAGATTTGACGGCCTTCGTACAGGACAACGACTTTGTCAAAGACCTTGTTGTTTGTCAGTTGGGCTCCTTAGTAGAACAAGGTCAGGCTCTATGACTTACATCGTAGGCATCCTGGGAAGCCTGGTAGATGGCAACGCACGACGTGCAGCCCATAGTATCCGCTTGCGTTCTCAAAGTGCGGCAGAATTCGAGGGCGTTGGCACTGTCGAGACCTCTCGTACTGTTATCCCAGCACTGCAGCGGCGAATAACTCAAAGCAGCCTCAGCGATGGTGACACGCTTACGCTCACCACCCGACACGCCACGAACGAAGTCGTCACCAACACGGGTGTTCTTCGTATGCGAGATACCAAACATGGCCATCGTAACATCACGAAGATGCTCGGCATATTCGCGTCTGGTAATGCCCTCGGGGATGTTCTTGGGGCATCTGGCGCGAGCTGCGAAGTACAAGGTGTCTCCGACCGTCAGGTGGGCGAAATGCTCGTCAACCTCGGCGGTGTAAATGGCCTCACCCCTGAAGGCGGTGCGCATGTCCTTGGGCTGGATGCCTTGGTAGTTGATAGTCGCGTCGTCACTAATGTAGAATCCGTGCGTGTCACCGGCGATCGTCTTCAGCAGGGTCGAGCAGCCGGAACCGGGAGGACCGAGGACAGCAAGCATCTCGCCGCTGTGAACGACACCCTCGAGGTCGTGGAGGATATCGATCCGTTGCTCTTTGGCTCCAGTGAGTTTCTTGACCAAGCTCGCCGCCTCAAGGAAGACGTTGCCGACGCTCTTCTGGTAGTCGGTGGATGTGCCATAGCCAAAGACATTGAGATTCTTGAAGGCAATGCCTGTTGTCTTTGGAGGATTTCCTTCCGAAGTATCGGTGCGGATGTTGTAGAAGGCCTTGGCCCACTTTCTTGCGTTGAAGTCTGGACTGCTGGGGTTCAAGGGGCCTTCGGCGGGGACTGGGAAGAGAGAACCGGGGGCGGCGTTGGACTGCGTCGTGTATCTGCGAGCGAGTTGCAGAACCTCGTCGTTCATTCGCGTTTCCTGATCCGCCGCATCTTCATGCTTCGTCCATTCTTTCTCGGTGGTTGTGCCAGCTGAATAAGACCCAGAGCTCGGCGGGAGAACCTTCTTCTCGTTGGTCGATGGAGGTGGCAGAGTGCCACTATCCGTGTCGCTGCCAGACCGCATTGTCGCTTTGACGGTCACTAAGACCAGACGACGAAGATAACCCAAAAGTAGTCAAGTTCGAGGCGGTGATAGTTCGTGTAAGTGGAAAATATTAGGAAGATGAAATCCAAGATATGGGATGAGTTGATTGAAACTGAAGTTGGAAAATATCATGCCATCTCAACTTCGAGACACCAATTATATGTATGCATCCCCGAGCGTCAAAACATCTGAAAGCCCCATATTGCCAAGTTGCAAAAATCTCATCATCACTCATACTTGCGTTAGTTGCTGACGTTCGCTGTTGGTTGGTTGTATTGACCGGACTGGCGGATATTCGTGGGACGAGAGTCCGAATGTCCGCGATTAGGGGTTTTTCTCAGCCCTATGGCGCCCGATTAGGAATCGAGGACACAGATTCGGACTTTGCCAAGACTTTATCGGGGTCGTCAAGCCTCGATCGTCTTTATAGTCTGATCTACTAGCCACGTCCTCCCCCAAGCTTAAGAAGCTTAAAACAAAGGAACTTGCCGCGCACTAAGGCGCATAGACCGAGTCCAGCTGGAACCAGCTGGGAAGAACCCTTGATAGAACTGATTACAAGAAAAGATGGTCGGAAGAATTGTTGTTGCTGCTCCAGACTGAGTGTCCGGCGACCTCGGGCCCCCTCAGACCGTGGCCCGCGGCCTCCGCGACGCAGCTTTGTGAGGTTTGTGCTGCGCTGCGTCACGCCGGGCACTAGGCAAACCCCTTGCCAAGCAAACCGGACGGCATCTAATTAGACTTTGCGAGCTAAAACCAATTCTCGACCCCCGAAGAATCGAGATCATGATGCATCATAACGGCTCGGGTGGGATCCTCGCGGGCCTGGCATGGTGTATTTGTCCTTCAAAGTCCCCCTCTCTCTCTTTGTAGCACATCTCGCTGCACCACAAAACAAATCGAATTCTCCGCTCTCCGAGATCCCTTCGACGACTTAGGTAATCATGCCTGACCAGTCCGCCCAGTTGAATCCGCTTTCGGTGAGTACAGCGGAGGTTGCTATAGCTCCATAGTCCGCTTCCTGGTTCCTGATCCTCCAGACTTGGCTTTCCGGGCAATGGGTCTCTTTCTCCTATCGTGGTCTCATGGCTGACTTGGTTGCCAATTTCCGCGTGGGTAGTGCAAACGATGCAAACACAGAAAGGTCAGTCATCGCCGTGTTCCTTCGGATCATATTTAGATGTGGTTGACTGACGCTTCTCTTCGCGACATCAGGTCCGGTGTAGTCGTGGCATGCCAACGTGCGAAAGATGCAAAACCCACGAGACAGAGTGCGTCTATCCTCAAAGAGTCAAGAGAAAGGTCACTCGGACCTTGACGGACCGTCTGTCGTAAGTTCCGCCCCTACCCCCCTCCCGATCCTTCTTTGCCCCCCTCCACCAATGAATCTCCACGAGATTCTCGTAAAAGAACCGTTGGCTCAAGACATAGCCTTGGCGATTCCAGCACGACGGATGACGCCCTGTCGACCATACTCGAAAGGTTACAGCGCGTCGAGAAGCACTGCACCACCGTCCCGAATGGAAACCAAGATCTAGAATCCCGAGACGGGCCCCCTGCTTCCGTAGCTGCTGATCCGCCCGCTGCCGCCCCGCCGCACCGACAACGTACTTCAAGCTCCAACAGCGCCCCATCCAACCTGTCGTCTCCCGCTCCATCGAGCGTTGCCGGTGGGCAGGCGACTTCGCCGTGGACGTCATTCGCCACGCCGAGTGCGATTTCTGAACTCGATGTCGCGGCCATTCTTAAGGATGCCGTCGATCAAGTGCAACGACTGAGATTGCAGACCGTGTCTGCTGCCGTCGTCACTCAGGATGTCAGGGTCCCTCCTGAGTTGGCTAAGCAATGGATCAAGAGTAAGTCACGATGTATCACTAAACGTCTCAAGAAGAAAGAGTTCTTCGAGAAACTCTATCGCTTTTCGTCTAACGCTTCTGTCAGACTACTTCACGCACATGCATACGGACATGTTCCTCAGTCTCGTGAACCCAAGGCTCATAGAGATGATCCCGGATCTCCTTGGGTTACCGCATGTCCATCTCGATCCGGCTATTTTGGTCGTGTACTACGGCGTTCTGTACCACGGCTGTGCTCTGGGCTCTACCGTGCAGGCAAATGAGGAAGGACAAAAGTACATCCGGATGCTCTACGTGTGCTGTCTTCGAACTCTACCACTTTGGCAACGTGAAGCGACAGGGTCCACAACCGACCTCATCGCCGCTCTCACCATGGTCAGTAGCGCTCACTCACCTCTATCTAGCAAGTCCAATCTAGATTAACCACCTTCGCTGGATAATAGTGCCGCACGGCAGCCGAATGTTTTGACGAAGAATTAGCTTGGAAGATGTACACCTACGCCTGCGAGTACGCGCAAGCACTCAATCTGCACAACCTCGACGCCTACACCACGACAATCGGCCAGGACGAGAGTAAACTCGATGCCGATCGCAAGGGTTTCTGGGAATTGATCCAGATTGACTTCTTCTTCAGGCTACTCTTCAATCGCCCGCCGGCTATTACGGACAGCATGAATACGTGGAAGGTCAATTTGCCATGGCTATCATCTGGCAGCGCGCCGCCAGACCTCAACGCTGTCCCGACGGTGACGTTCCTCATGGGTTCAAGGCTTACGTTCATTCTGTCGCACTTTTTCCAGGACCTTGAGTCGCCAGATTGCGACGAAGCCACCATTCGGCCGAAAGCTGAGGAGTACTGTAGAGAGATTGGTCAGCTCTTCGATGAGTATCAAATTGTAAGCGCCATCTCCTCACTTTGGCCTTGCTGGGGACTTGCTGATGCCTGAAACAGGAAGACTGGATTCAACGAAGTGTAGCGTCAGCCGCAAAAGCCGACTGCTGGTTGCTGGGCGATGTAGCCATGACCGGGTACACCTACATCATCTTCATCCTACGAAAACTCGCCGTCCTCAGCTCCAACTCACCTCGCCCCGTGTCCTGCGATGCGGACATTCCCGACTCCCCGCTAGCCGTCGAGGCCTCACGGGGCATGCTGAGAATCGTGCGGGCTATCCTGGTGCACAACCCCTATCCTGAAACCATGTGTGTACTTCTGGGCATCTACCGCGCCTACGTCTCGTACGCTTGCCTCTTGAACCACATCCTTCGGGCTGTTGATGTGAGGAGTCACTACGACGATATTGAGCTGCTGGAGGAGATTGGAGAAGTGATGCTCAAGGGGTCCAGGGACGATAGGGACTTTATGCCGTTATTGAGGGCTATACAGAGTCTCGGTATGGAGGTCAAGAGGAGGCTGAATGACGTTGCGGCTACGGCGTCCGTGGCGACTGTTTTAACTCCGGCGATGAGCATAGGAATAGGAGCTGGCTTTTGACATGTGGCTGAACACATGTCGGTATCTGGATGATGGGGGTTCAAAAAGGAGAGTGACTGAACTCAATGCCCTGTAACGATGCCTTTGCTTTTCGACGGATTGGGCAGCTTGCGGTTAGATGATGATTGCATTATAAAAGTACGTAATACTTTGCGAGGAATTGTATCTATGAGAATACCATTATTTAAAGATTCAGTACGATCCGATTGCTCGTGAGCTGTCTAATTTCCTGGCCAGTAGCAACAACATACCATAGCAAAACTCCAAGACTAAAGAGGCACATATTGATGAACAAGAACTTGCAGGATGTGGCCAAGATGCTTCTAATCCTATCTTTTGGCCTCCTTCTTGGATGTCAGAGAAGCCCGATTGGAAATGATCAGTGCCCAAGGTGAAAGTTTCTAACACTTCAACGAGCAAGGCCTATTACATGTTTACTTTGTGAGGTATAAAACATTGACGTACTCAATCATGCTTAACATTACATATCCCATTAGCCTTCGTCTAAATTTATGACAATAACGGATCTTCTTTCAGTGTATCCTCGAACACGCTCTCCAGCAAGTCGACTCGTTCTTGACTTCTTGGCTTGAGATCGAAATCAAACTCCTTTGGCTGCACGTTAAAGCCTGCGGCAAAGTCATAAACTGGCGGTATAATCTCTTCGCCGTTATCGTCCCTAGCCCGAGAAATGTTACAAGCCCAAGCAAGCAGCGCGATCTTGAGGTTGAGACTCCGCTCGGCAATATTGATCCCTTGGCATATCCGGCGGCCGTGGCCGAACGCCGTGAACTGCTGCAAGTTGGGATAGACTGTGAGAGGTTCCCTATATGTCGGATACTTGGGATCTAGCCAGCGGTCCGGGTTGAAGAGTTCGGGCTCTGGGTAGGTCTCCGGGTCGCGTTGGATAGCCCACTGCACCGCATGCACCACGGTACCCTTCTTCAAGTAATACCCGTTGTAGGTATCGTCTTCCGTCAGCCGATGAGGGAAACCGCCGGCCGTGATAGGGTAATACCGCAGCGTCTCCTTCACGCATGCCCTGACAAGCGGAAGCTGTGGCATATCCTCGAAAGTAGGCAACCTATCGGGTCCAACAACAGAGTCGACTTCGGCCTGAAGCTTCTCAAACCACCCAGGATTCCTTACAACACAGAGAATAAACGACGCAAGAGCCGACCCAGACGTCGTGCCCGCAGCCTGGAATACAGACCCCAGCATCCAATTCGCCTCCCGCCGCGTAAGCCCCCACTGGTCTTGCGTTCCGAGCCACGTCCGCGCCCAGGACGGCGACTTGCTCCGGTCGATCAGCTCTTGGAAGAAGTCCTCGTCGCGGCACCTCCGTGCTCGGAGGTACTTCTTCCAGGGAGCCATCCACTCTGGCAAATACTTTAGCGACGGGAAGATATCGACCAGGTACGCCCCGGGCGAGCCCACGCGCTCCAGCTCGTGGACGATGTCGAGCAGCATCCGCACCTCGCGGTCGTGGCCGGTCTCCGCGCGCAGGCCGTAGATGATGCGCATGCCCAGCCCGACGCTGAATCTCTCAAAAAGGGCTTCATAGTCGCGCGGCTTGCGGATCAGGTCGCGGAGTAATCGGACCGCCTCGATGCGCTGCTCCGTCTCGTACTGCGGCGCGACGGGCGACATGGTGACCTGGTGCAGGAACCTTCGGTAGTTTCTCCATTTCTCATCATAGGGAAGCAGTAGGAGCATGTGGTCATCCGTCAAGAAGTGCGACGACGCCGGCGCGTAGTGTCGATCGCTGTAGATGTTGCCCCGCTGGCGGAGGAGCTCGTTGGCGGCGGCCTCGGTGCCGAGGAGAACGTGCTCCTGGCCGCCCGGGAGGGCGAGTCGGACGACGGGGCCGTGCTCTTTGATGAGCTCATGGAAGGCCAGCCAGGAGTGCACCGGCGGGATCGAGAGGAGGTTGCCGATGAGGGGTTTGGGTTTGGGACCTGGCGGGAGGGTTGTCCCCGGCGGATGGGTCGGCTTCTTCGGGCGGAGGACGGCGATGAGGATCGCGAAGAGGATCGCGGCCCCGGCTGTCAGGTATGGGTCGACGAATCCTTGGAGCAAAAACATGATCACAAAACTATGCTGTGCTGGATGTCCGCGATGTTGCAGCAGTCGGGTTGTGCATGGCTCGGTGGTCCGAAGACTTCCTAGGCGAGGAGACGACGGTGATCATGATCTGAGGCCCCGACAACTTCTTCAAGCTTTCGGGTTTCTCTGTCTCGTGAAGAACCCCGCAGTGATAGCAGCCATCATATCGGCCAACCCCCCACTCGTTTCCGCGGTATGCCAATGGGAGAGGGCTTTTTGCAATCTAGCAGCCCGAGAACATGGTGTTGTAATATCTCTAGCGTACGCGAGTCATGCTCGCCTTGCCCTTACCGGCACTAGGTTCGGCTCCTTTATTCGCTAGAGGCCATCTACCGGCCGTTGCTAGAAGTATCTCTTGGTCCGAAGCCTCGGCCGTAAAAAGTGCCTCTTTGTTGCGTTCGTAGAGACAAATTCGATGCCGGATTCGGCTTGCGACTCTTGAGATTACGGCAGCTGCGAGCTGCGGAATGTTCTTCGAAGAATCTGTGCGCCAAGGTGGCACAGCAGCAAGTGCCGACATGTAAACGAACGGCGGGGAGCAGTTGACTCAAATAGTCTGATGTGATTCGGCGGAACCCGGGCGCATACAGCTGCGCGAATTCCTCCTCCCCGCTTCCGTACCTCATAACCATTGCGTCGGGTTCGTGGACTCTGTGGTTCCCAACTCCCCTTACCCGCGTCCCGCCTGCATGTGGATGACTCGGCAACCGGATGATACGGGACGTGGCCGAGATCGTCCTTCACGCCGAGGCCGGCGCCGAAGTCCCTATGCCGCCATACCTGCGCGAGATCCCGGAGGCTACACTGGACGGCATTATTCCACATGGTGTATCCTCAGATTTGCTCTGAGGACTAATGTTCGTCGAACACATTTTATCTACGTAGGTTTCCAATATCCTGAGTCGCACTGCTACCAATCTGTTCTAAGATTGCTGGGACCTCGCGCATTGATTGCATGGCGATGGTTGACGGCATCCCACAAAGTCGTCACCGACCAACATCCCACCGGCCGTTCATATCCTGAGATCACGATCCGAGTCATTATAGCGTGCTTTTCTACGACGACGGGATTGCCGTCGCTCGATCGATCCCTTTCTGCCTAGTGCCACGTATCCGACCCGGATTGTTGTGTTACTCTGCCATTTCAGAGTTTCCTTCGCGATCTTTGCGCTTTGGCAATCATTATGCTCCGGACTGACCGGAGTCTCGTGCATCATCAAACGTATGTTACTACAATATGAACCTGGACTGTAGAGCATCTTATTTGGAGTCCTTGGAGACGTTTCAGGGTCTAAACTGTTCCCCCGGTCACAGCCATGGATCGGCGTCCGATGAGTGCCGAAGAACAGATTTACGTTCGGCAGCCTTTGCCCTAACTTCAATGTGTTTCTTAAATCATGTAAATAAAAGTCTAAGGCGAGGAGCTTATACTCCACGCCATACTAAGTTTCATCTGTAGACTTACAACGTAGGTAGGGTACTGAATGTAGAGTACTAAGTAGGCTGTAAACATGAAGGGAAGCTGCCATTGAATGCCAAAGTGGATTGAAGCGTGAAGAGCATTGAAGTGTCAGCCACGAAAGCTACCATTACTTGGCATGGAATTCATTCTAAAAACTCGTCGGCTTCGCACCAAAATGTGACATGAAGAGTAGAATGGCACGCGGATTTGGGCGCAAAAGGTCTAATGTTTGGTCCGTCCAACGTAACGTAGAGCATAAGTCTCAATACCCGTGCAGTCTTGCATGTGGTGTATTCATGACTAAAACTTTTGGCAAGACTACATTCAGAAGAAATATGATCAAAACAATGCTCAGGGCCCGAAAACTTTGAAGAATAGGGCGATTTCGCATTTGGCCTTGTTGATTAAGAGAGGTTATGTTTTGGCGCAGAGCGTTCGGCGCCCGGCCTCTTTCAAGAATGAGCCAAGTTCTAATGCAGTGGTATGGTACGTTACAACTATCGTTGTCGAGTCATAAGTTTCCCTTCGTCCATGTACAAGTTTCCATATTCGTATCGTAATGTGGGATTTAGGTTCTAGGACCCCCCGTGACGTGCACGCAAGCAGGCGGCCGCGTCGTTTGCCACCAGGCTGTGTGGGGTCCGCTCTTAACTCAATCGCATTCTCCCGTCTAATTGCAACCCGCACCTACGTCGACTAACATCAAGTCGTCAGAATCACATTTCTTTAGTGAGTATGGTAGGTGAAGCTCCTCAGTAAGACATGGCAAGTCGCGCTCCTGCTACAATGTTTTGAGCATGGTCTGATGCACTCTTTCCGACTCGAAGTAATATCGGAAGACAAAAGCGCAGTGCTGTTCCGCACCAGTACTTGAGTCCATTGAACGGACCAACAAAGTTCTGAAAATTTCCATTTGATATGTCAATGTAATGGCCATCTAAGATGAAAAGCATAATTGAGAGATGCGCTGAAAGAAAACCGAGGTTGGCAAGAACTGCTTCGGGATCGATTACTGAAAGCGACAGAATCGGGTAGTGTCAGTGCTCTATGCCAAGGTAGTATGAGTCTGAGCAATTTGACAGTCTGAACTTTATCATGTCACCATTGTGAATCTTGACTCGAGACAGAATCGTAATACGCAACAACTCAACATCTCTCAAGTCGGCGCCAAACAAATCATGAAGTGGACTCTGTTGCGGTCGGCCAACCTAGGTTGACCAAAAATTATCTTGTCTATTAGATCTTTCAAAGATGAGCTGCACAGAGCTTCCAGGGATAGTGCCTAAAAGCTTCAGGGTCTTCATCCCACTCTGACCGGGTTCATCTAACCCCAGCCCAGACCGGACTGCGCCGGAAACACTCAACCATCTTTGTTCGGATCCAGACTCTGGAGGAAGCTTAGAGACGTCACCTTGCGGCTGCAGCAGATCTGACGTTCCATCTTTTTACCGTTCATGAACCCCTTTGCAATTTCGCGCCTTAGTAGCGGCCCTGGAGGCTGCAGCTCGGAAAACGAGCTGCCTCATCAAGCCTAAACACACCTCATACCCGCCGAGTCCACTTGTAGAAAGGTGCCAAGACCTGCAAGACAGCGGCACCCAGGTCCGCGCCGTCATGTCAGCGGATGCGACGCAGGCACAGAAGGTCATGGCAAGGGTACCACACTACTCGTGGAAACGAGTTCGTGCTGAATTTTCCCGGTTCTGCAGCCACCTTTGCTTCCAAGCAATCCTGTAGGGCGCGCATGCAGGTCACCACCCCACCAATCCTCGTCTCATGTTCCCGGGCGGTTCATCCGAGGGGGGATCCCTCCATCTCTTTCCAATCTGGGGGTGCAGCTGCATGTAAATGGGACACTTTGACTACAGAGGACGATCAGCCTCACGGGGAAATGAAGGGCAGAGAACTGGTGGGTTCGGGGCAAATATGGCGCGAGAGACCGTCCGTCTTGGTGTCCTACATATTCTGTGGCCCAAGACTTTCCTTCCCGCGAATCCCTCGGGAGCTCTCAGGGACCTGTATGCGTACCTCTCTTTCATTCGTTTTCGTCATTCTTTTCCTCGATTATTAAACACACCCTTGCACATATCATGAAGGGCATTTTCAAGGCCCTGGCCACGGCGGTGCTCGCCACGGCGTCGCTGGCCCAGGAGTCGGCCCCGCCCTCGGCGTCTGCTTCGGCGTCCGCCGTGTCACCGCAGCCGTCTACGGGCGCCCTCCCCGCCGTAGCGCCCATCCGGCTCCGCCTCAACCCGGCCAACGTCCGGAACCTCGTCGACTCGGACTTCATCACCTGGACGATCCCCGGCTCCTCCAAGGCTAACATTACGGTCGCCAACATCACCGAGAGCGACGTCACCTTCACCCTCGCCGCGGGCAACGGCTCCGAGCTGGCGGGCAACTACTACAAGTACCAGTACACGCGCATCCTCTCTTCCCTGGGTGAGCGCGTAGTCAACGAGGGCATCAGCAACTCCAACAAGGACGGCTCCCCGATCACGCTCACGATCAAGGGTCTCGTGCCGGGCAACCACAGCCTGCTGACATGGCACAACGCCTGGGACGCCCTCAACGAGACGGCGACGATCGACATTTCCGTCAACGGACAGACTGATCTGACGGCCGTCAAGCAGTCCGCGCGCGTGGACAACATCTGGCAGGCCGCAACCTCGTACCTCACGTTCGAAGTCACGTCCGCGACCCAGGAAACCAGGATCGTCTACACCCCCGGCAGCGGCGGCGACAAGCGGGCTTTCCTCAACGGGTTTGAGGTCGATGCCCCGTCGATGCAGAACCAGATCAGCTTCCCTACGCCCAAACACCGTGACGAGCGCATCGAGGTTGCGGCGGATGACAGCGTCACTGCTACTTGGCAGGCTCCCGCCTCTGCTGAGGGTGTCAAGTACAATGTGTACCTCGGCACGTCGCAGACTGACTTGAAGAGCGTTGCTGAGGGCGTGACGGAGACGAGCGCCAAGCTTCCTGGTAGGTTCTTGATGTCATTTTGTATTGGCCGTGTACTTTCATCTGATCTTATTACAGGCCTCAACACCGTCGACAGCTTTTACTGGCGAGTCGATCTCGTTTCCGGATCAACCACCTACACCGGCCGCGTCTTTTTCTTCCGCGTCGCTCAGCTAGCCTTCCCCGGTGCTGAAGGTTGGGGGTAGGTCTTTAGACTCTACCCTTTTTGCATTGAAACCTACTAACATCATCCACAGACGCTTCGCCCGCGGTGGCCGCGGCGGCAAAGTTATCAAGGTGACTAGCCTCGAAGACACCGAAGCTGAAGGCACCCTCCGTTACGCCCTGACCATAGCCAAGGGCCCACGCATCGTCGTCTTCGACGTCGGCGGCGTCATTACCACTACCTCCCGCATGTCCGTCAACGACCAGTACATCACCCTCGCCGGCCAGACCGCGCCGGGCAAGGGCATCGTCATCCAGGGCAACCCGCTCGGCCTGACCGGCGCGTCCGACATCATCTTCCGCCACATGCGTGTGCGCCCCGGCAAGGTCTCTGGGCAGACCATTGACGGCATGGGTATGCAGGGTTCGAACCACTGCATCTTTGACCGCTGCTCTATGGTATGTTTACTTCGAAACGACACGTGAGGATATTTTGCTAATAGACAATGCATAGGGCTGGACTATCGACGAAGCTTTCAGCTCGCGGTCTGCTTGGAACATCACCTTCCAGCGCAACATGATCTCGGAACCTCTCAACGTCGCCGGCCACAAGAACTACCCCAACGGCACTGCTCACGGCTACAGTGCCACGATTGGCGGCGACGTCGGATCTTTCCATCACAACTTGCTCGCCCACGCCGAGGGTCGTAGCTGGAGCATGGGCGGCGGTGTTGACGACAATGCCGCGTTTGCCGGCCAGCTTGACATCCGCAACAACGTCGTCTACAACTTTGGTATGCGACACATGCTTTTGTGAAGAGGATATTGAAATTCTAACATGTACAGGTGGCCGTGCTACCGATGGCGGTGCGAAGAAGGTCAACTTTGTCGGAAACTACTACAAGCATGGGCCGGCTTCCACGCTCACTTACGCCCTTAGAGCACAGGTATGAAAGTTATCCACAACACGAAATGACCCTATCACTAATATGATATATACAGTACGAGGACAACATGCCCGGCATGCAACAGTACTACTGCGCCGGAAACTCCATGCCCGGCTTCTTCGACCAGGATTCGGTCCAGTACCCCTCGGGCGACGGCACCGCCACAAAGAATACCACAATCGCCTGTTGGGCCGACGTCAGCTTCGAGCCGGCCCCGACCTACCAAAAATTCTTTGACAAGGAGTTTTTCGAGCCCCACGTCGAGACACAGCCCTCTACCGAAGCCTATAAGCGCGTGCTCTCCGACAGCGGCGCCAGCCAGCCCGTCCGCGACATCCACGACGCCCGTATCGTCAACGAGACGGCCACGGGAACCGCCACTTACGTCGGCTCCGTGTCGGGCAAGAAGGGCCTCATTGACGACCCGAAGGACGCGGGCGGGCTCGAGGATTTCCCTACCGTTACGCGCGCCGCCAGCTGGGATGCTGATGGAGACGGTATCGCGGATTGGTGGGATGGATCGACTGGCGGTGATGGATACACTCCCATCGAGGGGTATCTCAACTTCATGGCTGATGCCCATGCGTATGTCTCGCCTTCCAAGTCTGTCGAGGTTGATCTCGCTGCTCTGGCTTTGGGATTCAAGGAGCCTACGTTTACGGTTTCCGGGGCAAAGAAGGGAGAGGTTACTGTCAGTGGGGGTAAGGCTACGTATGTTGCTGGCGCTGAGGCTGGGATCGATCATCTTGAAATCAGTATCAAGGACAGCGAGGGGAGCACGTGGACCCGGCCGCTTGGTGTTGCCATCTTTGCCGGCGCGGAGGAGGCCTGAGTGAGCGCGCACAGAGCGCCACCATACACTTCAATTCTTTAGTCAAAATATGTTCACCCTAGATGCGTGGTGGACAAGCCATCACCAATTATTTCTTCCCAGATGTTGCTCACTCTTGGGGCACTATGCAGCCTGGCTGCTGCGATTATGTTTGTCGTCTCCGGCATCTCACGTCGCCGTCTTCTTCACCATCAAGCGCAGTCATCATAAGCCCGAAGCAATTTATTCCCAACTTTTGATTAAAGTACCTTGTCTGTATCCCTGAGGCCCAGCAGAAGAATCGAAGTCTACCCCGCATAACTCATTACATAAAATCTTATCCCCCCGATGCATAACGCTATGCTTCATGTATAACACTTATAAACCGGGCACTACAAAAACAAAAAGGAAAAATAAGCTGCTGGCCCCGATGAAGGGTACATGTTTGTTGCCACCGCTGCTAGTACAGCTACTTTGGGCCTTGGCTAAGTCCGCATCTCAAAGACAGACTTAGGTAGAAGTAGGCTCGGCGCTGAGGACCAGACGAGCAAACTTGTTGCAGTTGCCGGTGCGAGAGTCGCAGGTAGGCTGGGCAGCCAAGCAGGTAATGGTGGAAACCGTGTAGGTGGAGTACTTGGGCGCGACGCTCGCCGTCTGGGTGCGGGTGATGTAGGCATAGCGGTACAGGCAGACGCTCTGGTCAGCAGGGACGGTGGCCGTCTGCGTGATCGTAGCCGTGGCCGTCTCAGTGACGGAGGCGGTGATGGTGGCGTTGACGACCTCAGTGCGGTAGGCTGTGGTGGGCACAATCTCGGTGGAGTAGATGGTGGTAGGGACCGTGGCGATGTTGTACTGGGTGGACTCGACGGTGGCGACTTCGGTCTCGTAGACCGTGGTGTCGACAACAGCGGTGGCGGTGGTGTAGACGGTGCTTCCGAGGGTGGTGATCTCGTTGACGGTAGAGACGTGGGTTTCCGTGGTGTACTCGGTCGCGTAGACGACTGTGGGCACGGTGGTGGTCTCGTCGAGGTAGACGGTGGAGTAGGCCGTGGAGGTGGAGTACTCGGTGGAGGGGAGAGTGGTGACGTCCAGGACGGTAGAGTGGATGGTGGACGGCTCGCCGGTGACCGTAGGAGTGACGGTGACGGTCTCAGAGGCCTCTACCGTGGCACGAGCGGTGCGGGTGAGGGTGGTGGTGGATGCGGTGGTGCGAACGGTGGCCGTGAGGACGAGGGTCTGGACGGCTGCCGTGGTGCGAGAGGTGTAGGTCAGGGCGAGGGTGGTGGTGGAAGCAGTGGTGCGCTGGGTGTAGGTGAGAGTGAGGTTCTCAGTGGCGATGGTGGTGCGAGAGGTGGCCGTGTAGGTCTTGCTCTCAGTGGTGACGGTGGTCTTGATGGTCTTGGTGACGGAGGTGGTGGTGTCAATGACGGCGGTGATGGCCTTGTCGCTGAGACCGCTGGCCACGGAGGCAGGGATGGAGCCATCGCCGTTGTTGACGGCGACTTCGGCGGAGGCAGTGATGACGGCATCTGCGGCAGCAGAGGTGCCAGAGATGGCTGCGGCCGAGACCATACCCGCGATGGGGAGGAGGCTGACGAGAGACTTGATGAAATGCATTGTTACGAGGTGCGTTTTGTGCAAGTGAGCGACAGAAGTGAGTGACTGGGAGTGGGAAAAGAGTGGAATCTCGCAGGAAGCAAGTTGTGGGAAAGAGTGTGGGAGAGCGAGTGAGGGCTCGGTGACTGGCAGTGGTCTGAAGAGGCTGATGAGGATAAAAGAATGTGAGTATGCTCGACGATGTTCTGGTTATTATAGGATGTTGAAGGTGTTGCCAGAGATGGTCTAGAATTTGGACCCTGAATCCACGAGTTTCTCACGAGATTGCTTTCCAATTCCGTCTTTGCAGCTGACATGGCATTGCGAGTCAATGTCGACAAAATGGCATGAGGCTTGCGTGGGAACGGTGACTATCGCTCGATAGCTTACGACACAGATGCGGTGATTCCGTGGTCCGCACTGGCGGTGGACCACTTTGACTTCCCCATGTCGAAATGGTAGAATGGCTGGTGACCTGACACGTTGATAGACTCGGCATGTGTAAGGCAAGGCTCAGGGCCTGGCTTGGGAGACGTTGTTCATGGTCCTTCGCACATGAGCCAGTAAGATCTTGGAGGCGAATCTGAGGCTAGAGAGGAATAGCCCTCGCTAAGGATTAGCTTGCCGTTGCGCTGGTATCGTGAGAGAAGACGATGCCTCATCAAGGAGTAGACTCATCTCCGAGATTGTGGAAAAGAAGAAGTCGGTGGATATCTGCCTTCGCGAGCTACCGGGCCCAAGTCTCCGGAACCTGCTACTATGAACGTAGCTGTGGCAGCTGCTATGCCATTCCGGTCTAATCCCAATTTTGGCATAAGGCGACGTTTTCTTGTTCATGTGCTGACCTTTCTGGCGCAGTTGTTAGTTCACTAGTTTTGTTCGGAGAGGTTTCCCAACGGAGCGGGAAATTGGGGGCGGGAAGTCAAAAAAAGCCGCGGAGGGCTCCGTCCGGGCGGCACGCGGGATGGGGGGACTATGGCCGGCGATACGTACTCACTCGTTATGTGCATAAACCATCTAAGCCAAAAGGCGTATAGTATACTCCCCTCCATTCCTTCACCCCTAGATCCAGCACACCAGGGGTTGACTCAGGAGAAGAAAAGAAACGGCGCCAACTTAGCTTCAATCCTGCTTAGACCTGAGTCGCCGAGCCGCGTGTCTTGAAGCTAAAATGTTAACATGGACCCCTGTTGCTGGGCAAATATGTTCCCCAGAACCCCCAGACTAAGCTTCTTCGGCTATCTGTGGCTTGGGGCACTCTGCGCTTGACGACTAGTTCCTTCAGCTCATAAACAACAACTGCAGGCTCTTGATTGTTAAGCACTACATCAATGCCTGCCGGGTTCCTGCATGTGATGCATTGATAGAAAGTGAATAGTGGCATGAGCACAGACGTAGCCTAAGAGGACGCTTCTGCTATGGACCTCACTGACAAGACCGAAAAGTGAAAACTTGAGCGAATTTTTGAATTGCGGTCCATGAAAGTGCTTACAGTGTTGGTCTGTGGGCTCACGTATGGCTTACATAGAATTTTCGTCTCGGGTTGTTACGGCTAAACTTGGTGCATGCAGTGATTTGGCGATACCAGATGGTGAACTCCTGAGAAGCAGCAAATGTGGACGAGAGAACGCCTCGACTTTATGCAGGCGCCCGAAGTACGTATCTTCGTTTTTGAATATCGTTCAAGAGCACAGAGATTTTGAATATGTACAATGAATTTTATGAAAATTACAACTCCTCCATGTACCAAGCCTAAGTACATTATCTACACAGCATCTTTTCGGGGCAAAATACAAAAGTAAAATCAACAGGAATGAATTAGGTGACTCATGTCTAAGAATAGAATGTGAAATGGGTGATTAGAAGGTCCAAACATGCCTTCAGGTGAATTATATGCCAACGTTGTGGCTTAGAGCACTTCTGGCGGCGAAGGAGGCCGAGAGATGGGGCTTTCCGGCCTCTCAGCGCCGCCTTTGCCCTCTTCTGCCTCTGAGAGCTTATCTTTGGGAACAGGAGGCGGTGCAGCAGACGACGCAGTGACGCCAGACATGCCCCAAACAGCGTTGCCGAGATTCTTGGCAACAGCTGAGAAGATGATGATGGACATGAACGGCGAGACGAGCTTGTTGACGAAGAATCCGAGAATGATCTTGTGGGCGCGCTGGCGCAGAGCTGGCTCCACGGCCAGGCAGACACAAAACCAGATGACAGGGAACTGGCCCACCACAAGCAGCGGGAGGATATCCCAAGGGTTGAAAGCCTGGATGAGCGCGCGAATGAAGAGGATGGTGTTGAGGACGCGGTAGTACACCAGCGTCTGCCGCGCAATATCAATGGCAGCAGCGATCCGCGTGATGAGAATCATGTTCTCGCCGCCGCAGTAAAAGTAGTTGTTGAAGTAGGCGTTGGAACCCCATCTCCGGCGCTGGTGGACGTAGTGCTTGAAGGACTGCGGCGCGACCGTCTCAGAGACGGCGTCGGGCACGAAGATTGTCTGCAGCTTGGAGGACTGGCTGAGCATGCAGTACGTCAGACGGCGGTCGGTGCCGAGGTTCTGGACTTGGTGGTGGACGACCCAGTCTTCCTTGACGGGGCGCGCGTATTTGGCAATGGCGCCGGCCATCTCCTCGCGGACGGCGACCATGGTGACGCAGCCGGGGAGGCAGGTGACTTTTCCGATGAAGCCTTCTGCGCGACGCCGGACGAACTGGCCAAAGGTGTACTGCAGCTGCTGGTAGAGGTTCCAGAACGACCACTCGTAGCCCGGTTCGAGCTCGACGAGGACGATGCCGCAGCTGGCGATGGCGTTCTTTTCGCGGGCGAGGGCGTTGGCGAGCTTGGCGACGCAGCCTTGGTGGATGACGGAGTCGGCGTCGGTGCAGAAGACCATGTCAAAGTTCTTGAAACTAGTGCCCTCGGTCAGGGGCGGGAGAATGGTGCGCCAGATTTCTTCGCGGAGGAGGCGGGTATAGGTAGGCATGTTCTCTCTGGGAGCGTTGAAGAGGTCGTGGGTGAGGATGAGGGAGTCCTTTTTGCCGCTGTTCTTGACCTTTTCGATGACGATAACGGGAACGTCCTGCATGAAGCCGGCGGTGATTTTGAGTGTACCCTTTTTGTACTTGAGAGAGTGGTAGGGGCGTTCAATGTCAACGACGATGCGGGAGAACTCGCGCTTGATGTTGCGCGGCTTGCCGTCCAGGACGATGCACATGACTTGCTTGTGCGGCTCGCAGCCGTTGTCGCGGAGAGAGTAGACCGTTTTGATGAGCTGCTCCTCGCTTTCCGAGTAAGCTGGGATCAGGGAGAGAATCCATCGTTGGGAAACAGGTGCGGGAGGACGAAATTGCTTGTAGATGGATGTTCCGATGAGGCAGATGAGCGAGAGAAGCGAGGACAGGAAATCCTTGCACTTGACAAACAGGATAAAGACAAGTGTCGCCAAGCCGGTGTTACCAAAGCATGCGACGGCAGCAAGAGCGATGTTGAGACAGAAGACGATGAGGATGAAGGCAATTCGCTGCATCGTCAGCTCTCTCGGGGTGAGCTTCTTGTTGGGGTTCAGGGGGTCCGAGAGGATCGGCCAGCCGTAGTCGGTGACGAACTTTGACGGCTTCTCGACTTGGCCATCATCTTGGCTGAGGGTGCTTCTACCTCCGCTTGTCTTGCGTCTTCCGCTTACGTCGGAGTCTCTGGATGAGATGGACGTCCGGGGTGAATTGGGTCTGCTGTCGCTGGCGGCAGAGTAGGCATCCCATTCCCCTTGGCTTCGCCAGGAGTTGGGTGTTCCGGGACGAAAGACACGGGAGGGAGGTCTCTCATTCGTTGAGAATTGTGTGCTGAGCCTCTGTGATAGAGTCTTCACAGTCCAACGCTTTTCATCTGTATGCACAGGCTGTGGGCGGGAAATTTCTGGGTGACCCATGGTGTCCTGAATAGCTTCACTTTCGGGATGTGAGTGATACTATGGACATGAGACACACTTTCCGTGGTGCTGAGCTGTACTCAGAACGGAGCGAGCGGAAGCGTCCAGTGAGTCCAGGACGGTAGAGAGAATGGATAGGATACAGAGTATCCTTGTGAAAGAATGGCACCGACAACACGTCGGGAGTAAAGACTGGACACCACGAATGGCGAAGATTGTTGGATGTGAAGCTCAGGATGAGGATGCAACAAGAGAGAAAGAGTAGAAAGGAAACATCTCGGACTTTGCAAGAAGGCACACTTTTGATCGACTTGATCGGGGTGATTGCCGCCCACATCGCTGCCCTCTCGTCCAGGCCATGGAGCTTTCCATGCGAGCTCAGATCCACTAGCCTGAGCAAAATCTTGGTATTGAGGCATGTAAGATTACCCATCATCAGCTCCGGCATGACGCGGCAGAACGTCGGGGAACAGCGAGGACCAAACCAGGTAGTCCGTGGTAGCTTCGGCTGCCAGGTTGATGTTGACCCAAAACCTTGGGACAGGAATACGACTGATTCCTAATGAGGCCAAGAAGCCGATTGTGTCAAAGTCAGGACTCCTTACTTTGCGGCCCTAGCTCTTTCACCGCTGTCATTCTGGGAATATACCGCATGCTTTCACATTTGAGCCGGCAGCGAGGTGGCTCTCAGTGTGACTGATTGGCTGTAGTACGGCAACAAAATCTCTTCGTCAGCCAAATGTCTGAGCACCTTACAGGATGCCTGTAGTCTGTGAAGCTGTACCCAAGTAATATCTAGTAGACAGCCAGCCAAGATTGTGGAAATACCCCAACACAGACTAGCTTCAGCCAGCGACTCGAGAAAATCGGATAATAACGTCGGCATTAGTATACCACTTCGGAAAGTGCATAAAGTAAACATCGCAAGTCTGTTTCCTGGTACTAGCCCCGGGATTGCTGGTGTTGAGACGCTGGACACAAGTTAGCCGCAGGCGGCTGAGGGACTATGCATCAATAAGGATCTGTGTAGTTCCTTTTCGTTAGCACCAATATGCTCGTAGGGGTCTGAAGCAGCCACGAACAGCGTCGAGAAAACTTTCCGCGATCCACGCCACCAAGCTTGGATTAAGCTTAAATGCCAAGACCCTAAGTCAAGCCATGGCCGATGGGATATGATGACCCTAGGCGATATCCAGGGATCCCGTGTGTGGCTTTCAGCCCCCAATCTCGAAGCACATTAGCGCCCCGGCGAAAGGAGTTGTGAAAATTTGCTGCAATTGCGCAATCGTCTTCCACATTGCCATTAGAAGTCTGGCCTCTTTTGCCCTCGACGTCTTGCTAGTGCACTTTTTGCCCACTTCCCGGTCTACAGGACGGAAGCATTGGAAGAAGGCATACGCAGTACTGTGTTTGACGCCAGTACATATATGTCAAAGCGTATTGCCAGTCGGCCGGAATTGCCCGATGGAACAAGTATGCTGTTCATGTCGTCTTGTAAAGGCACTTCCAACTTATTCATGTTGTTTGACTATGCAACAGGTCCATGATGTATTGTTCTCCGGAGTCATAAAGTTTTCGACATAAATGTATAGAGATCTGGACCCAGATGCAGGTCCAGACCCTGAAGCTTGGCTGGATCTCGGGGAATCTCTTGACTGCGCTGATCATATCCTTTGCTGGGATAGACGTGAGACAAGACCCTGGAGAAAAGGGACGAAGGATTCGGGACGGGCCCCAAACTCCTGGGAATGGGTTATCTGGGGGACATTGTATTACTGCCGGCGATGCCAAGTGTCATCAAACCTTTTGTTTTTAGCGGCTACTAGTTGCGAAAGCTGTGCCTGGCTAGCTGGCAGCCTTACCTCGGAGGCCCTGTACTTGTCCACCGCTCAGGGACGTTCAGCACGGTCAATGCAGTCTTGGCAGCTGACAGTGCCGGAATATGCCTGTTCAGTTGAATTCAGCTGAATGATACATCCTGGTTCTTATATCCATGTTCTTAAGGCAATGGAGGCCGTATGGAGTACAGGTACCGAGCCTAAGCTCAACGGTCCGCAGGAAGAAACTCGATGAAGTTACGAACAATGAAATCGGACAAGTTGAAGCAACGGCCGACGGCGTTACCGTAAGCCTCGAGTTGGTCAAGACACAAGATCTTAGTCAACGAACGTTGCATGAAGATACCTGCAGAGAAAAGGAGTTGACGCAGGAACGAGACAGAAAAAAGGAATACTAGGGGCGCCATGTGGCTTGCCTGCCGCACTTGTCGTGAAAGGTGTGTTCCCCGGGACTTAGCGCTCTACGCTCTAGTTGCATATTCGGTCTATCACTTTCCTCCTCGCTTAGACGACTTTGCTCCAGACTCCACCCCCTCAACATCCGCCTTTCAACTTCCTCCACACCACATGCTTCCGCCCACACCCCGGACTAGAACAATACTAATAGTCTTTATGTGGACTTTCATGAGTGTTCTTCTTCGCACCATTAACTGCCGCCTCCCAAATAGGCAACGAGGCTGAACATATACCTGCGTCGTCCCCTAATCCTTTCCCCTGGTAGAGTGGCATTCGGTAGTTCCCGACCACGAACTCGCTTTGCCATGGATGGGGGTACTATACAATATGGATTCGAATACCATGGATGCCACTAATACGATCCACACAGATAAGGAGAAAAAAAGAAGAGGTGAACTGTGCTCTGATGCCAATGAGTCCGTCAACCGTTGACGGTTGACACAATCAGCATTGTCAATTCCGAGATCTCTCATCATTGGCGGTACGCTACTACAACAATGTGCGTACGCTTCTGCCAAGATCCACTACCGGAACTGGGCCATGAGGCTGAACAGCGTTATTTTCTTTTGCCCCCTAATTTCACGATGCAGAAGTTTTCAACTTCATGGCGTTTTCTCAGTCTGGTATGCCGTATTGGGAATGGCGAGAGTTTGACTATTCCACCGTACTCGTCCGAATCTATTCGTTACGTTCATCGCGCATTCAACCGATTGCGTGGAGGAGGAAATTTGCGGCACATCTTGGCAGGAATGAGCAGAGCTGGGAAAACTTTGATGGAGATCTTTACGCAACCTCATTTGGCATCTGGTTTCAATACATTTTCCAGCCTCAAAGATTTCCATATAATCCCACCTCCAGGTCCGCATCTACACATTCCTATTCCTCATCCACTCACACAAGATCATAGAAGAACATCATCTTCAGAAGTCCAGATCGATAGAGAACTGTCTCATTGTGATATTTTTCCTCATCTGTCTCTACCACTTCGACTTCACTTCCTTCTCATCATTTGCATAACAATCATTCAAAATGAGGGTCACCATCGACAAGCCATCCTTCCACAGCCGCAGCCTTTCTGTGCCGGCACCTCCTACACCTCCTCCTGAAGCATTGGGCCTCAACCTCCCCGGCTTCGATACCTTCAAGGCCAACTTTGACCTCCCCCTCACACCTGTCACGCCGCCGCCAGAGTACAAGGAGCACCCTTTCTCTCACAACGACCGCGTCAGCGACCTTTCTCCCGTCGTCGACCCCAATGACCAACCCCTCGTGGCCGTCATCGGCGTCGGCTACGTCGGCACTCACCTCGTCGAGTCGTTCTCTGCCCACTACAACGTCCTCGGCTTCGATGTGTCAGAGAAGAGAATCAGCGAGATCCGTGAGGAGCTCCCAAGCGAACGCATCCGCTTCACAACCTCCAAGACAGACCTCCACGAGGCCACCCACTTCCTCATCTCTGTCCCCACTCTCCTCAAGGCGGACAAGTCCATCGACACCTCCTACCTCCAGTCCGCTATCGCCACAGTCGCGCAGCACGCGCGCCCGGGCTCCACCGTCGTGATAGAGAGCTCCGTCGCAGTGGGCATGACCCGCAGCCTCCTCGGCCCCGTCGCCACCGCCCACGGCTTCTACGCAGGCATGTCTCCAGAGCGCGTCGACCCAGGACGCATCGAGCCCCCCTGCCACGCGATCCCCAAGATCGTCTCTGGCCTCGACGACGAGATCCCTGGGTCGTTGGCCTCCGTAATGCGCCTCTACAACCAGGTCTTTGACCGCCTCGTGCCCGTTAGCCGCACAGAGGTCGCCGAGATGATGAAGCTCTACGAGAACTGCCAGCGCATGATGTGCATCGCCTTCGCCAACGAAATGGCAGACGCCTGCATCCCGCACGGCATCGACCCCTACGAGGTCGCCGCCGCCGCCGCCTCCAAGCCCTTTGGCTACATGCCCTACACCCCTTCTCTCGGCGTCGGCGGCCACTGCATCCCCGTCAACCCGTACTACCTCCTCTCCAACAGCGCTTTCCCCTTGTTGGAAGCCGCCGCCGAGAAGATGAATGCGCGACCCGCCGCTATTGCCCGCCGCGCTATCGATTCGTTGACGAGAGATGCCAAAGCTGGAGCTGCTTCAGCTCTAGTACGGCCTCGTGTTCTCGTCGTCGGTGTGGGCTTCAAGGCCGGCCAGTCTGTCCTGAGTAACTCACCGGGTGTTGACCTGGTCAAGGCTTTTGTCCGTTCCGGTGAGGTCGATGTCATGTACGCGGATCCCCTCGTCAGGCAGAGCGCTGTGCCTGTTGCGCCTCGCTTAGCTGATGAGAAGTGGAACAAGGAGACGCTTGAGACGTTCGATATGATCATCGTCGCTTTCCGTCAACACGGTTTGGACTTTGGTATCATGGACGAGCTTCGTGGCGTCAAGGTTGAGATGTGGTGCCCATAATTTTCTCTGTGGCTTCTTATCTTCTACTTAGAGTTGTTTCTTCCGGCGCTATTAGAGGAGAGGTCAGGTGTTTGGTTTCTTTCATTCGCATTGGTTTGAGCCGATGGTTCGGCGGGGTAAAATTGCATAAAACGAAGACTTGGATAAGAGTGTAATCATAGACTTAGACATGCCTTCGATGGCAGTCCCAATAATAATCATAATTGTTCTCAATCATGTGCTTGGATGATGCCGTGAATAAATAGTCCATGTTAGATAGGACTTGACGCCTCTTTGATGTGCCTAATCTCATATAAGTGAAGTGCCCATCACAAATGAGGCTTCTCTGAAAACCACTGAACCGATGTTTTTTTATACCATACCGCCATCATACCACCGTACAACAAGTAAATAGTCTCATGAGACCCTTGCTCCTCCTGAAGCTTGGAATTCCTGTTCCATCTTCTTCCGAAGAATCGGGGGTGGATCCTGACGCCTTTCTTCGAACTCTGATCTGATATCGCCGCAAAACAAAAACACAAACCGCAGCAGCAACAAATGTGAACCCTGTGAACAACTGAGCCCCAAGATACGCTCCCGTCTTCATGTATATCACCAACGCGACAGGCGCACTAACGGTAGAAGGTACAACCATCATCAACCACAACAGACTTAGACCGGACGCCAGATTCTCCGTACCCAGAACCTCAGCAATCACAGGCGCTGCATTAACCCAGAAAACTCCGGCGGGAAGGCCCACGACAAGAGCATACGTGATCAACGCCTCAAACGACTTTGCGTTGGCCCAGAAGACGAGAGAGAGTATCCCTGTACCCAAAGTCATCAAAAACGTGACGTTGATCCGCCCGAACCGATCGCTCAGCCATCCGATGGCGGGACGTCCTACCGCCTGACCGAGCATAAAGACTGCCGAGACTTGGGAAGCCTGAGAGGGGTCCAAGCCGATGACGTTTGCGTAGTTCGCCAATGTGAAGATTAGGATGAAGTATCCAAGCATGCTGAACGCGCCAAAGCCCAGAATCAGGAGATAATCCACCCTCTTGAACAGAGAGACATCCAGAGCCAAACGTTTTGCTCTAGTCTCTCCATAGCGCGTCCGGATAAGAAGGATTGAAACGACGTTCGCTATGCCGGAGACGATGGCGAGAACGCGGTAGGCCCAGAGTAATCCCATGCTGTCCATCATGGCGCCCACGGCGAGCGAGTACGTCAAGCCGCCTAGTCCCGCGCCCGCGATAGCGACGCCGTTGGCTAGTGCGCGCCGGGCAGTGAACCACTGCGCTACAATACCATACGAAGGCAAGAATAGCAGTCCCATCCCGATGCCGAATAGAAGTCCCTGCGAGAGAAAGAGGTGCCATATCCGGGTTGAGAAACTTGCGCAAACGAGACTGGCGGACTGCAGCACGGCGCCGAGGAGCATTGTAGGTCTGGTCCCCGACTCGCGTGCCATGATTGTAGCTAGCGGTGAAATGACGAGGGTGACTCCTATGGAAAGGGAGCCGATGGCAGCGTAGACGAGTGCGCTTGTGCCGGGGAAGGTATCGGATCTGATGTAGTGGGCGAGGAATACGGAGTAAGCTGCGCTGATGCCCCATGAGTGCCCGTAGATGATTGCGATGGAGGTCGTGACGATCCAGCCGTAGCCACCATCAGGGGCAATTTTGCGAGGGCTTGAGGCTTGGGAAGATCCTCGGAATGGGAAAGGCGGACTTGTTGTTTCTCTTCTTGGTTCATGTTCGTTGCTTGTGGTCATCGTTGGACTTGAGGCCAGGTAATAGAGTGGCGAGGTAAAAAAGATTCTGACCTAGATAGGAAGTAACAACAGACAGTGAACACTCGAACTTACTCTGTTGTTTTCACGCGGGCAGTTACTAAATTTGTACATAGAATTTATAAAGAGCAACACGGACTGATGTTACAGCCGGGACAGGCTCCGCGAAGTCCATATTGTTGTTATGTGTCAGCCAGAGTCGGTCCACGTTCCGAGACATGACCATGACGAATTTTCAACGAAGATTGGAACGGTTTGAAATCATGCATGGGGCCAGTCGCTAGTTGAAGTGGTAGAAGGAACAGCGCAATTACAAATCCCGGCCGAAAGGAACCATCGCTGGGATCTAAATTTAGTCTCCGGCCGGAGACAACCAACGACTGAAGTAAGTACTTCACGGAGACATTCCACCCAGGATGCCTGGTTGGATATGTTTCCGTGACGAATGATTCTAAACAGTCCATTGGATCCCACTAATCTCAGTCGCTAACCATTGGGGTTGTGGGATGTGTAAGTCTATAAAATCCGATATTCCGGAATCTCAGGTTTTGGTTATGGACCTCACGAATTTCCTGATGAGGTGAGGGGCTGCAACGATCCTGTATCCTCAGGGATGAACAAAACTAGCCCAACGAAATATCACAAACTAGATCAAATGATGAGGTACGTAATCCAAAGCGATTGGTACTATGATAAAAGTATAATGGGAGCAGCGGTTATAGAAAGGGGACTTCATGTTGTACATAGGACAACATCGTTCCATACAGTATCTAGCGAAGAAGTACGCTGAACTTACTCCACCAAACATGAGTCTCTGATATGATGTGAGTATTTACAGGAACCAAAGTATTACGCAGCTGACCATCGCAACTCGCTGACTCTTCGCATGGCACAGCGACTGCAGCGGGGAATAGAAATAGTTGCCGCATTTCAAATCCTACCGAATTAGTCATTGCCACCCGCGGCGGTTTGCACCACTTCATACCATCGAAGGATGACGTAACTTTTACAACAGAGAAGACTCCTCCAGAGCTGCAACACAAAGTTATTAGCCATGCCGGAATTCGACCTGGTCTTGTCATACGGCGATCGTATTGACAGGACAAGTGGAATCACAGAACTAGATTCTCATCTCTTCCAACCTACTTTACTGATTGGCTGAAGACATGAGCACACTTTCTAGGTAAGCTTATCCCATGCTCCAAGTAAAAAATATGCCCCTTCAACGTCGGTCGAGTGGTTCTCCTAAGGTCCACACACTCGAGTTCACTGACCAGTACCTTATCAGTGTAGGAGATATGTATTACAATGCCCCCAATGAGGTGAGAATGAGCTGCATTAAGGCTCTTACGATCATCATGACAAAAGTCAACCTCAACGGCCAGGATGCACTGCTACAGACTGAGGAGAAACACAAGAAGGTCAAGGCTTACTCGAATCGCGCCAAAAATAGCCGCTTATTGGAAAGTTTTATGACAGAAGTACATTGTATAGGTCGAGAAAAAGACGGTTCGAGTCAATTCGGTGACTTTTGGGGTTAGAAATCGACTATGCGCAAGGTTCGTAGCTGCGATACGTGGGCGAAGCAAGCCATGACACCAAGTATTCGACTAGGGTATTCATAAGGGGCTTTCGTTTGAACTCTTTTCTCTGTGGACGCTTACTTTGGAAATCTAATGGTACCTACAACGTGCCAGCTTCCAAAAGAGACTTTCGCGAGGCATCAACAGCCCCTTCTTCCTCTGCAAGAGTACTCCATTTATGACCGGTTTCCTACAACAAAGGAGAGCTTGTGACCATTGGTAGCCATCGACCTCATCGGTTTAGCCGCGACCTAATGCTTTAAAGAGCGAGCATTGACTTCATTATGAGCCGCTGTTCTCCTCAGGCCTCCAAATCGGGATATAGTTGGATTTTATACGCAGATGGGGAGTTTGTATACTGCTCCACAATACTGGCCGCACTATTCTTCTCTTCACGGCCCATCCTTCTTTCGTTCTCATTTTTTCTCTTTCAAAAGAGAAGCATGTTGTCAAGCTGCTTGCAAATTTAATTTTCCTTGGTCGCTGCGTTCTTCTACTACTGAGAATCTAGGTTCCGAAACCGGTGTGTAGGACTTCGATGCCGTCCCCTCCCAACCAGACAACCGGCCTGATCTTCGACATCACTCGCTGCTACACTGGAAAAGAAGTCCTTTCATCGAAGGAGCGCTGTCAACAATACCAAGCGATGAATCTGGGCGAACGAGAGTTAACACTCTCAACAGAGCTCTCTCCGTAAACAAGACCTGGCTACAAAATGCTTTCTTCACATTAGCGACATTGCCGGTCCATGTTGCAAGACATAACGATAAGGCGCTTAGAGGAGTTGAAAAACTCCACAAATTCACGTGCCAACTGAGCGAACATCAGATAGCGATGGAACGACTTGGGCCGGAGATGACTCAAGGACAATCTGTTAATGGTCATGCCATCCTGTCGGCAATGAGAAGTTTGTCGGCTAGATCCCAGAACGCGTGCGACCTCTCCCTGCAAATTTTCAAGCGCACTACTACAATGCTTACTTGGCTCAAAAATATTATTCAGAGACAGTTCCGTGTACGTGAAAATCAGCAACAAATATGCGGCGCCTCCAGATACCTCTCTGAAACCCGGCGTATCAAGAATTCTGGTTTCTTAGCAGGGACCACATCCCTCTCCCATCCAAGGAACTCAGACCACGTATTTACTACTCCGACGAGTGATTTTGCATCGACTGCTGACCAACACTTTTCCACCGCATCCCATTGTTGTTTTGGCTGATCTTTCACGAGGTTCGGATTCGGGAGACTCTGGGCAGGTGTCCAACGATCGTCCTGGTGCTCTGATGTAGGAAATAGCGGCCAGTTTATCTCATCCGGCTCGCCGGCATCTTTGCCCGGGGGGTTCACGTTGCTGACCATGGCTAATTCGACATCGAAGGGCAATATGGAATCCTTTGACACATGTGGTACTGGAAATTGAAGCTCCACAGCCATCATGAGCGAGACGAAAGAATCAGATCCGTTCAGAAGGGAACCGATAGAGTTGTTACCAGATCCATGGTTAGGATCCGAAGCTTCATCATCTAAGGTAATCAAGGACTAGAGTCAGCACACTGATGCGTCACTTACAATTGCGCAACCTGTGGCAAGAAGAGAACTTACACGCTCCCCAAATGACATTCGGAACTGCCTTGAAAGCAGGTCTGAGTCGCAAATCCTTTCTCTCCCCTTCACTATCCACATGCTTAACTGAGACATGTAGTGTAGATGTCAGCGCTTTCTTTAGGTTCATAGGCTTAGCAAAGATCTCCTGCTATTCCTCTGGAAGCGGTTTGCAATCTTCGCCATTGATCAATGCACAGTTCATGGCGAACTTGGCTTCGATGCTAAACTTGAATGGCCCTCCTCTGACACTCCATGGTGCGTTGAACGCTTTGACCGGACCGTCCTGTCGCCGAGCAATCCGGACAGGCATAGGTAAACGTGAGGCGGCGTGGCAACGGATTGCGCCATCTTGGAGTCAGATTCGAGGACTAGTTTATAAAAGCGACTCAGGTGTTACAACCTAACACGCATAACCAAGACCAGGGTCTACCCCACAGGCCTATAGCAGCTATAACACGCTATATATATATAAAAACATTAATATAAGAGTTACCCTAATAAAATAAAAGAACTATAAATAAATTATATAATAATAAAAAAGACTAATAAATAATAAGTAGTTTATAAATAAAATAAATAAAATAAGAGCAATTTACTCTTATAAAACTAATATTATAATATTAATCCTAATTATAAAAGAACTATTTAAATAATATATAAGATTTATATATAAAATAAACTTAAACTAAACTTAAAAATAAACTTTTATAGCTTTTTAATAATTAACCTAGTATTAAATTTTATAATCGTTTTTAGTTATTTTTATTAAAATCCTTTTTAATAAGATTACGATTAATTATTAAAGCCTTACTTATTTTATAATTTATAAATATAGTTTTAAAAAAGCTATTTATAATTATAATACTATTTACTTAATATTTATAGCCTTAATTTTTATTAATATACTTATTATAACTAGCTAATTATAATATTTTAATTATTTCTATTTAGTAAATTTATTTTATAAAAACTAATTAAATAGTATAAATATATTAATTATCAATAATAATAATACTATATATTATATTTAAATAGCTACGTTTATTATATAATAATTATATAATATAATATTCAAACTTAAAAATAAAAATAATGAACTTTATACTAGCTCTTAATACCTAACTTCTTTTAATACTTAGAACTAAGTACTTTAAATTAGAACTTTATAATAAGTCCCTAAATACGTTCTAAGGATTTTTTATTTAAACTAGGGCCTACTTATACTATTATAAATCTTTTTTTATTATTAAAATAAATAAAATTTATTATATAATATCCTTTTTTAAAAAAGACGCCCTTATTGTTACGACCCAACACGCATGACAAGGCCAGGGCCTGCCCCACAGGACCTACGGCGGCTACCACACCATATATGCGGGAACACGAACTCAGGGCGACTCCTCTCGGGACGGAAGAACTATGGGACAAGTCACGTGACGATAAGAGATAAGGAACTCCGTACGTTCGAGATACGGGGTCCGTCCTTTCACGATACGGAACCCGTATGTTCAGAACACGGGAACCGTTGGGTAAACATACGGACAAAGAATATGTTCAGGAACGAGACTTGTATATAGTGTGGACTTGAGCCGGGCACAAGGACAGACTTCCATAGCTTCTTCAGCAATCAACTTAGTATCAGATCTTACGATCGCTTTCAGCTATCTTCACTGAGAACCCCTCTGACAAGACTAGACAAGACTACGATTGATCACCGAAGCCTTACCCACCTTACGATTTACAGACATAGCTTCAGGAAGCTATCCACGACTACGACACTGTTTACTTAGTTATCGCAGCCTCAACTTCTGCTAACATACTCACTACGACTAGCTGGCCGTAACACTTATTTAGTTCTAACCCTTTATAAAAAATTATCTTAAAAATAAGTATAAAATATAAAAAGTAAATATTAAAAACATTTTTAATAATTATAACGAGTTTAAAAAAACTTAAAGAAATTTTTAATAACCTAAATAAAAACGAATTATTAAATAAAAGCTTATAACCCTTATTTAAGAAAGCTTAGTTAATAAGTATATTTTAGAATTTTAATAAGTTATTTTTAAACTTAATTAAGGTAATGAAGTATTTATAATAACTTTTATTATAGTTTAAAAAGAAGTTAAGGATAAACCTTTTATTAAGACTAATTAAACGAATTTTATAGCTATATTAATATAATTATTAAGATTAATAATAGACTTTATAAATAATATTTTAAATATATGAGTAGAACGTATAGAGTAATTACCTAAGCTTAATAATAAATATAAGTATAAACTAATAACTATTATTATTAATTATTATAATAGACTTATAAATCTTAATATTATTAAAAAATAACCGCTAAAAAGGATTTTAAATACTATAATTATAATAAACTAAGATATATAATTAAAAATTACTAATAACTTAAGTATATTTAATACTAACTTATTTTAAAAAACGAGTTAATATTATAAAAGAGAAGTCCTTTATATAATAGTTTTTTAGTTTTATAAATATAAAAATCGACCTTAATAAGATTACGCTTTTAAAGGAAATTATATAATATAGTATAATTTTAATTATATAATATATATAATGTGCCCTAAGTACGTACTTAATATAATATAATAATTTTAATATAAAAACTACTATTTAATTTAAGATAAATAGTTACTTAGTAATAGCGCTAGTTAAAAAGATTAATAATAGAGGTTAATTATAATAATTAGCTATAATAGTTAATTATAAAAGTTAGAGGTGCCTTAACTATAGAAGTTCTAAACTTTAATAATATATAAAGGTTTTTAGAAAAAGGCTAAAAGGGCTAATATTTATTACTCGTATTAGAGCTCGTAAAGATTTTTTTATTTTTATTATTTTTAATATTACTTAAAGTTACTTTTTATTTAAACTAAATAAATTTACTAAATAAACTTATTAAATAAACTTATTAAACAAACTTATTAATATATAAACTACTACTTTAATAAAAACTTACTCTCTTAGTATATAATTAGTAATTAGCGGGCTAGAACTCTCTAAAAATACTCCTTAATAGGTCCCCTCTAGGGCTTAATAAATTGCCCCTTAATACCTTAGTTATTATAATTAATATAAATATACTTGGAGTAGTAATACTTTTAATAATACGGAATCTAGCTAAGTAATAATATAAATATTATAAATAACTAAGTTAATACGGATACTAAAATTTAGTATATTAATATTAGTTTAGAAATTATACTTTATAAAGCTAGAAATCTTTTTAATACGGGTTATATTATAAATATAAGGGATTATATAAGGGTCCTAACTTTTAATAAAAAGAGTACGTAATATAAAATCTAACTATTTACGCGGGCTAGTATTAAAAGGTATTATATACGTTAAAATAAGTATAACTCGCTTTATAAATAACTAGAACTTAAGAAGACTTTATATAATAAAAAGTTAGGAGCTATTTTAGTTAGTAATTAAGTACGGAGCGTAATATACTTAGTTTTCCTTAATACGTAATATATAGTACGGCCCTAGCAGAATACTCTATTAGGGGGGAAGTCCTTTATATATAACTTATATAAATAACTTATTATAATAATAACTATTTTATTTATTAAAATAATAAAAATAAATAAAAAGTATTCTAAACTACCCTAAGAACTAAAACTCTTACTATAATTAAAAATAAAATACTATAAATAACCTTAAAAACATAATAAGAAATATATTTAAACCTTATTAATAACTTATAAAACTATTTAAATATAACTTAGTAACTAGCTTAAATAAGCTTAGATACTTATAATAATAAAAAAGTTTTTAATAAAAAGTAATTACTAAGAACGAAAATCTTATACTAGTTAAAAAGAAATTTTAATATATAATTACTAACTAAATCTATTTATATAATATAACGAAATAATAAAAATAAAAAGTTTATTTATAAAGTTAAAAATAACTTAAGAACTTAAAATATAAAAATAAAATCAAAGTTATTAAAAACCTAATTTTAATTTCGAAATTAAGGATAGAAAAATAAACTTTTAATTTAAAAAAACGAACTTAAAATTAGCTTTAATAATTATATTTTTAATAAAGAATTACTTTATAATTCGGACGAACTTCGTAATATTATTTAATAATATACTTAAATAGAAATTAATTATAAATTTTATTTTAATATAAATAATACTAGCTTTAATAAGGAATTTAAAAACTATAGTATAAGAATATTAACTTATATAAAAATAATTAAATTATTAGAATAATAATAGCTAGGACTAAACATATAATACCTTAAGAATAACTAAACTACTATTTAATTACGTAAATATTCTAATACGTAACTCGCTTAAGTTATATATAAGGATATATTCCAAAATACTCTCCTTTATATATATTTTAAAAGATTATTATAAAATAAAATTACTTTTTAATTATTAATTTATTACTAGGATCTATATATATATTCCTAGTTTATTTAATATTAATTAATAAATTATATTAAATAATTTATAAATTAATTAGTATAAAGAAATAAGATTTAAGCTCGTAAATTAAGTTATATAAGCTTTTATATTTTATCTCTAAACTATACTTATACTACTTAGTATTAGAACTAAATAAATAAAAATAAAATAACTCTTAACTTATTCTTTATATAAAAAGTTCTTTATTATTATTTAATATTAGAACTAAACAAAAATAATTATTATATAATTAATAAGATTAATAATATGCGCTATTATATTACTTATTAAATATAATATTATATAATACGATATAATTATTACTTACTAAGATTATATTAATAATACCTCTAATCCTAATTATTAAAAGAAAGGAGATAGAATAAGTTTAGTTAGAAATTAGAGTTAATACCCTAGAGACGATTCTTTAATAAAACTAAAGTTTAAATATTAAGTAATATAAATATATAAAAATATTAATATTAAAAATAAAATCCTTATTAAGAACTAAGTTAATATAATTAACTTAGTTTTTAAAATAACCTAATTAATTTTTATATAAACTTATTAAGTTTATAAATTATAACCTATTTTATACGAGCCTTTATTAATATTATTTAACTTAACTTAAAAAGAATCTTTAAGAACTTTGTTATTTAAAGATTTTAAAGGATAAATAAAGGACTATTTTTTTAAATTAACTATATCTTTTAAAAAACTCGTATAAGTCCTAAAAACTAAAACTTTCTTATATTAATAAATAAGAATTATATTAACTAACTTATATAACTCCTTAATATACTTAATAAAGAGCTAGGAAGCTTTATAATAGTAGTTACGAAGACTTATATTTTATATAATGATAATCTTA